TTTGTTGTTCTATTGTATGTATAATAATTTTAATTGTGTACTGGACATTGTGAATAATACATTGAAATGATCATGTATTGTTATCCTCTCTATAATAATTGGATAAATTCCTAAAAAATATTGAGAAAGCAAGCCATGTGAATATCTATGGAAAAGGCATTATGTACAAAGAAATAATATGTGCAAAGACTTGCTGCATTCAAAGAAGAGGGAAGAGGCCAGTCTCTAAATGTACATTTCCAACTTTATATCTCATCCAGTCACACATGGTAACTGATGCCATTAATTTCTAAGAATTTTCAGTTTCGCAGAAAATTTGGCTTATATCTTGTTTTTATGAAAATTTACAAAAACTAGTCTTAATTTTCTCTGTGTTTATATCTTATTAACAAATTTTCTGCCTATTTGCTTTCCAAAAATGAATTATGTCTCATTCTTAATTTTTTTTTTTACCTATCATCTTTTGGAAACTGAAGTTAACCATTTTTACTTGCAGTTTAGTCCCTGCAGTATCACACACTAAGACAGCTGCTGTCACGTGCAGTACCACGTGGTAATGGTTGTGTATGCTTTTCGGTGTGGGGCCTTCAGATCATCATGCTTACTTTGAACAGTGACCCAGTGAGAAATTTGTTACTTCTACCCTTTTACTCTACAGAAGCATAAGGTTTTGTCATCTCTTCCATCTCTCTCCTTAATCCAGCTCCAAGAAGAAATCTAATAGAAGTCAAGAACAAACCATAATGCAACTGTAGTCGCATGTGATTCTTTAAATGGGAGGAATAAGGTATTTTGATCAGAAGGGGCAAGACAATTACTGTCCTTAATCGCAAAATTTAAATATCATCCTCTTTTTTCTCATGGGGTTTAGTTTTAGTAAGAGGTCAGGTATGTCTCTCAAGTGGGAAGCAGAGCAACATGACATAAAAAGATACACAGAATAGGGTGCTCATGCCAGATTATAATCTAAATCCTAAACTAAAAAGGCACAACAGATACATGGATACTCAACTCTTAGGAACAGAGAGGAAATCATCCAGTGACTTGTGATGAAATCACAATTCTAATTTAATAAGAGCCAGAATTAGTCATATGGAAATATTAGAAAAAACTTAGTAATTAATTTTCTAAAATATGGCAATACTATAAAATAAGAATCATTCTTATTGTGCAGATAAGGAAACTGAAACTCCAAAAACAGGGATGGAAAACTCTTTCCTTTACCAGAGAGATGGTAAATATTTTAAAGTTTGCAATCACATAGTCTCTGTTGCAACTATTCAGCTCTGTCATGAATCATGAAACCAGCCATAGACAAGATGCAAATCAACATATATAGCTGTGCTCAAAAATGTCATTTATAGAAACTGAGATTTAAATTTCAGTTATTTTTCATATGTCATGAAATATTATTCTTTTGATTTTTTAAAGCATTTAAAAATGTTAAGTACATCTTAGTTTGTGGACCATACAAAAACAAGTGGCAAGCTAAATTGGGTTTCAGGACATATTTTGTCAATCTTTGTTCTGAAAGAATAAATGATTGTTTAAGGACATATAACTGATTTGGTCCAGCTTAAACATAAATCCTTCATGTTACAAAGGTAATTATCTTTCCATGTAATTTCTATATGATACCATCAAAATTAAAATCAAACATTCCTCACCACCCTTTGCAAAGCTGTAAGTCTATTTTTTTTTCCCTCAAGGAGCTAGAAATGCCAGCATTGAAGGAGACTGAAAACATCTCAAATGGTTTTTATTCTTCTTTTATTCCTTTTAAAATGCAGTGTCAAGTGGTATCCAGATATTGCTCACATTGTTCCTGCCCTCTGTCTGAAGGGGAAATTCTTCAAATACCCGACTGTCTACAGTTCAGCAATTGACATAGTTCACTTTTGTGAGGAAATAGGATGACTTTCTAAGGAAAAAAAGTGAATTTACCACTTTCATTACTTCACCCAAGGCAGAAAAATTGGAGTCTACGAAAATATCCAAATATCTTTTCCCAATATTTGAGACATTGATGGCGAAAAGAATTGTTTTCTAGAAACATAAAAATGAACTTAATTTCTCATGAAAGGTGCTATTACCAAAGGATTTGTACATATTGTAGTTCTCTTTTACTGAAAATAGATGGCCATAAGGGACAGAAAGACCTTGGCCTACTGTGAAATTATTACTGCTGCTTACTAGATATTTACATCTTCCTGTCACCTGGTAGCATTTCATTCCATGTCCTTCTGTACTTTGGGGAAAACATACGATCATTCTAGTCAATGAGTTATGGGGAGAAAGTGAAGTGTATCACTTTTGGGTTGAGAATTTAATTGGTTCTGTGACATCCTCTGGGGTGCTATTTACCATTTATCAGAGCAAGTGGCAATGTTCCAGACTGTGGCTCTCCCAAGAGCCTAGGTGCCGTGGTGAAAATGACGGCAACACTAAAAAATACCTCCATATTTTTGTGTATTAAACTGTATAACTTTCATTAAAAGTAACTTTTATGTAAGTAGGATCATCAGAGAGATCTGAGAGGGAGACACACAGAGACAGAGACAGAGACAGAGGGACAGAGAGGGGAGGCACGTGGCATTGCTGCAGATATTACACGGACCAGATATTACACTGCCAGAAGAGCAGTTGTGAAAGGACACAGGACTGAGAGCATCAGGCATTAAGGGACTTCTGAAATTTGGCAAATTTAAAACACAGGTCAGCCTGCGCATGGAGGAAACAAGAGCTGGTACCAAAGGCTTTCTCACGAAGGACTTTCTCTCTATATTTAGCCCATTAAGTGATAATCCATAAGTCACACTGTAGCACACAGGCTTACCCGCCTTTCAGGGGTGCCAGCCCTGAATAGCAGATAAAACTGTAACTGGAACAAAAATGGCTTGTTCTTGGAACGGGTTCAGATCTTGTTTAGAATGTACAGGAGGGGAACATGAAGCCAATATTCTCTTCTCAGTCTATAGAATGCGGGCTCCCTGTGAGAAGAGAAAATTTAGAACACTCAGAGGTCACATCTCATTCTAGTGACAGCTAGTTGGGGTTATGTCCTCCTTGTATTTGTGCTAAGACACTCAGGCAAAGTTTGGCTGCCTTTTTATTTTTAACTTTAAAAGATGTGAAGAAGGACTCGGAAAGGAAAGCATTTACTGTACTGAATAACTTGTGACAATGATTTTCATTCTAAATAGATTTTTAAAAGTAGTGTTATTCTTGGCCATTATCTAGGATTCTAAAATACTTTCAATGTAGTGCACCATGCATTATAATGATGTTCCTTTTGTAATGGATTTAGAACTTTTATCTGATTCATAAATAGGATAAAATTGAACTTGATAAACAAAAAATTTTGCTGAAGGTATGAAAAAAGATTGTCTTAAGTTTCCAGGAGATACAAAGTATACCAAAGTGGCAATATAATAGTTTATATTGTTTACTCCTTGAAAACATCTTTACTTTGGTAATTCAATTTTAAGAATTTATATTGATATAAGGAAATATCATGGATAGAATAGTATTTGCAGCATGTATTATTTTTCTGATAATTAAAAAAATTGACATTCCAAGATCAGGGCATATAAATTCAAGCCAAGATACTGTAAAATGTTTGACATTTATTACACATTATTGACAGCTACTTTATAAAAAGAAATGTATTTGAGGCCTTCAGTACAGAATTTCATTTTGCATCATTTTGTGTGATTTAATTTTTTTCAGTCTTGCTTGTTTTTTGGCTATTTTAGAGCAAATATTCTTTTTGATGTTTGCCAAAAATGACCATTTTGTAAAGAATATAGCTATACTTTACCATAATCATGCCATAGAGAGATAATCTCTTGCCATTGAAATGATATTGAAAATTATTTATGGCTAAACTATCACATGTGGAAAGCACTTAAAAATATTGTACTCTATACCTCAAACATTTGAACTTAATTCAACTAAGTTTTTTGATCTTTCTCATCCATGATATTTCTTTTCTTTGTGTCTGTATGTGTGCTATTTTATTTCACAATATTCCCCCTTTGATAGCAATATTATTTTATGAGCTAAAATATCACCTGTTGAATGATGTTTTCATTCCTTAAGTGATAAACATTCTTTCTCATTTTTGAAAGTAAAATACTTATAAATAACTTATAACTTGTAATACCTTTTATGATGTAGGTTTATTTTGTAATACACTGTAGAGCACTGTAATACAGTGGCCCAGATATGTTCCTGCTTTAGAGAATTTTATGTAAAGAAAGAGTATATTAGGAGATAATTTTTGCCTTTATCATCATTAACATTTTCCTTAACCAAGAAGTATGCTACCTTATTTTTTCTGTCTTTAGGGCCCTCTACTATTCAAATTAGGCACCTTCTTTAAATGTGCTTCATATAAAGCAAAGATTTTTCCAAGAATTTCCAGCTTCATACAGAATACCCTCACATGTGTTTCCTAAAATAGGAAACTCCAATTTGCTTAAGTTTCATATTTTATTTTAAAAGAACTATGCTACTTATTCTGCTTAAGACACAATTTCTTCAACAAATTTCACTATTCTTTCCTGTCCTGATGATTTTTTTCGGCCAAATATCATAGAATCTGGGATTCAAATGACTTTTCTCCACTTCTGCGTGTTCAGGAGGCACAACTAAATTTGTCAATATGGCTTTGAGAAATCATTTTCATTTTCTTTCAATGGACTAAGCCTGACGATTACTGAAGAGTACATTTTTTTAAGTCAGAAGCAAACACTTCAACACTTCAAACTCATTAAATAATTAATGTTTTTAACAACAGTAAAATCAGATATAATTATTCAATATCTCTGCACAGTGAACCTTTCATCTTACTATAGTAACCAAGGCCATTGTTTGCATTTGCTTATTCTACAGCTATCGATGGCTATTTTATACAGTATTCAGCTTCTGTTGTCAGACATTATTAATGAAAACAAGTTACAAGAAACGAGACACTGTGGAATATCGGCCATAGTCAGGCCACCCGCTAACAGCAGGGAAGGAACACAAAGCCCTGGAGCCGCTGTTTCCGGGTGCCTGAGACATAGGGCACAGCCAGGGCCCAGCCTCTGTCAGCAGGCCGGCTTCCGGAAGTGCCGGAAGTGCCTCGTGCACTGGGAGGGAAGGTGCCAACGACCCCGCCCCTCGGAAAACCCGCCCAGAGCACTCTGCTGGGGGTTTCTATGGTGATGGTAAACCAGCCTCAACTGCCTCAGCTACAACTGCCAAGTCCTGGGCGTTCCACCCTCCGCCAGGTGCACTGTGGGAATGCCGAGGAGCCGGATGTGAGATCAGAGCGTGGAGACTGAGAGCCCGAGGCACACGTTTCCCATTGGTGACATTTTGGCGGGCGGCTGTGGCTCTTCCTCCTCTGCACCCTGTGACCCACGTCCGGCTCTCGGCCTCCAATCACTGGGCTTCCGCTTCCTGGACTCCAGCCCCACACTTCCTCGGCCCTACTGCGGCGCGGGTAAGGACGAAAGGGGAGATGCACCTGGACTTGGCCCGGAGCGCCCTGCATTGCTGAACTTCCGGTGGAACTCGGAGGCCTTGGACTGTAAGCTGCCTTCGCGCCAAAGAAATCAGTCTTGCTGTCCCCCATGGACAATCCGTTACCGGCCAGCAGTGTCCCCTGCTGAAGGCACCCGGAGTCGGCCTTGGAGCCGCAGGAAATCCGTGCCCCGGCTTGTGTGACCTCCGCCCTAGCCAGTGCCGACGATGCTGGGCCCCGAGGGAGGGGAGGGCTTTGTGGTGAAGCTCCGCGGCCTGCCCTGGTCCTGCTCGGTGGAGGACGTGCAGAACTTCCTTTGCGACTGCACGATTCGAAACGGGGCGGCGGGCGTCCACTTCATCTACACGAGGGAGGGCAGGCAGAGCGGTGAGGCTTTTGTTGAGTTCGGGTCGGAGGACGACGTCAAAACGGCCCTGAAGAAAGACAGGGAGAGCATGGGGCACCGCTACATCGAGGTGTTCAAGTCGCACAGGACCGAGATGGAGTGGGTGCTGAAGCACAGCGGGCCCAACAGCGCCGACAGCGCCAACGACGGCTTCGTGCGTCTGCGAGGACTGCCGTTTGGGTGCACCAAGGAAGAGATCGTCCAGTTCTTCTCGGGGCTGGAAATCGTGCCCAACGGAATCACGCTGCCCGTGGACTCCGAGGGCAAGATCACGGGGGAGGCCTTCGTGCAGTTCGCCTCGCAGGAGCTGGCCGAGAAGGCGCTGGGGAAGCACAAGGAGAGGATCGGGCACAGGTACATCGAAGTGTTCAAGAGCAGTCAGGAGGAAGTGAGGTCGTACTCGGACCCCCGGCTCAAGTTCATGTCGGTGCAACGGCCGGGGCCCTATAACCGCCACGGGACGGCCAGGAGGTACGTGGGCATCGTGAAGCAAGCGGGCCTGGAGAGGATGCGGCCCGGCGCCTACGGTGCAGGCTACGGCGGCTACGAGGAGTACGGTGGCCTCAGCGACAGCTACGGCTTCGCCGCGGCCGACGTGTTCGGGAGCGACCTGGGCTACTGCCTCTCGGGGATGTACGAGCACCGGTACGGAGACGGCGAGTTCGCGGTGCAGGGCACCACGGGGCACTGCGTCCACATGCGGGGGCTGCCGTACAAGGCCACCGAGAATGACATTTACAGCTTCTTCTCCCCGCTCAAGCCCGTGCGGGTGCAAATCGAGATCGGCCCGGACGGAAGAGTGACGGGCGAAGCGGACGTGGAGTTCGCCACTCACGAGGAGGCCGTGGCGTCTATGTCGAAAGACCGGGCCAACATGCAGCACAGGTACATAGAACTCTTCCTGAATTCGACGGCGGGGGCCGGCAACCCGGTGTACGGCGGCCAGGTGATGCAAGGCGTGGGCGTGCCGGTGGCCCAGGCCACCTACGGCGGTCTGGAGAGCCAGGCGGTGAGCAGCTGCTACGGGGCTGGCTACAGCGGCCAGAACAGCATGGGCGGGTACGACTAGTTCCGTGGGAACGTCTGGGTTGTCTCCACCACGTGTTCACAAGCAACGGAGAGCAGACGCAGGGAACCTGTGGGAGCCCATTTTGCGCCGTGAGTTTGCAAAAGCTGCACCAAAAAATTGCCTCTTCGGTGTTTTCTCATACAGACTTTTCCAGCATGTGATATTGAGTAAACTACTGTTTCCAACTTTTCTCGATTAACACTTTGGTAGTATCCCTGAGAGCGATGTTATCTGAGTTTAAGTACTTTAAGTGTATTAAATATGGACCTTTTGCCACCACATTGCAGTGAACTCATTGGGGAGACGTGCTTTTTTGGGAAAACTCAAAGGTGCTAGCTCCCTGATTCAAAAAAGAAATATTTCTCGTTTGTTCATTCCAGTTTATCTTTTCACTTAAAATCTTTTAGGTTCAGTTGAAGCTTTTTAAGAGTTAAGTTTTTGAGAATTGAGACACAATACTAATAATACCGTAGGAATTGGTGAGGCCTTGACTTAAAACTGTCTTTGTACTGTGATTTCCTTTTGGGTGTATTTTGTTAAGTGAAACTTGTTAAATTTTTTGTTAATTATTTTTTTTTCTTAAAATAAAGATTTTTCACAATGACTGGCACAGATTACCTACTCAGCTGAAGGTGGTAAAATGGGTGGTTGAAGAGAATTCATTTTAATCCTAATGTATTTTAGTGTGAATTTAAAAATAATTTTGTACATCAAAGCTGTGATCTCCCTTATATTCTTACAATGAGGCTAAATAAAAATATAATAAAAATGTTTAAAAACACTGTTGAAAATACTTTTTTCAAAGCATTGAAGTTCAGTTAAAATCATGTTTTCCAAATTGCAAGTCTATTTTTTAAATTTAAAAAATTTTTTTTGCAAGTCTATTTTTATACTTGAGCAGATACTAGTATTGCAGAGAATCAATTTATTGTACTACAGAGCAATGTTAATGACCAATTTTCTAACAAGAACAAAAATATCGCTCCTCTCAAAGTACAAGCAAACAACAGTCACTTTGACTTCCTAATCAAATTAATAAAATAATTTTTGGTGTATCATTACAACTCCCATGTTTTAATTAATTAAAGTGGTTTGTCTTTTTTTTAACTGCAAGCACAGGAGAAAATCAGTAATATATAATACAAACATTGTGCTGTTTTCACAAAAGAAATAGAGGGGACCTAGACTCATATAAAAGCAACTTCTTAGTATTGATTTTTATAATAATAAGGAATTTTACAAGTCCTTATAAATTATAAAAATAAAATATTTGCTTGTCTTACTGTTAAATACATAAATTCTACAAACTGCTTTATTTTACCATAAAGTATTATTTTAAAAAAATATATAGAATTTAATATTAAAAATTAGGAAATTAGTAAACCATGCATTTAGGCTTCCTTAAGGTCCTTGTGTCTGAAGGATTCCTGGTAACTTGCTTCCTAAAAGGCGGAAAGGGAAGAACAGATCTCCAGACTGAATTTTGCTGGCAAAAGTGAGTCTTACAAAACAAAATGTAATAATGGGAATGAAATTCTGTGACCTTTGTGGAAGTTTACAGTTTAGACGAAAGACATGTGTCCTGCCTATACCCAAGAATGTGGTCATGTGTGGACATGAACAGGTGGGGAATCATGAGAGCCAATTTATACTCTGCCTGCCCAAATCTCATTCCCTCTTCAATGGCCTCCCATTTAGAGCTTCACTTAAGCAACCATTGGTGGAGATGCAAGAAAGGTCTGGAGGGAAGGACTGACATTGAGGTTCTGCCTTCTAGAATAACATTTAGAAAGTTTCTTACTTTAAAAGTATGAATTTTAAGGCCAGGCGCGGTGGCTCACGCCTGTAATCCTAGCTCTCTGGGAGGCCGAGGCGGGGGGATTGCTCGAGGTCGGGAGTTCAAAACCAGCCTGAGCAAGAGCGAGACCCCGTCTCTACTATAAATAGAAAGAAACTAATTGGCCAACTAATATATATAGAAAAAATTAGCCGGGCATGGTGGCGCATGCCTGTAGTCCCAGCTACTTGGGAGGCTGAGACAGAAGGATCGCTTGAGCCCAGGAGTCTGAGGTTGCTGTGAGCTAGGCTGCCGCCACGGCACTCACTCTAGCCTAGGCAACAAAGTGAGACTCTGTCTCAAAAAAAAAAAAGTATGAATTTTATTATTCATTGGTTAGAAAGGAAGAAAAGTCATATGCTTGAATGAAAGGTTATCTTTTAGCAAGCAATCAAAAATGTTCAGGTAGACAAATGGAACACAATTTTATTCAGGTAGACTAAAGTTCAAACAGAAAATTAAGCTCTCTAGCATGTGTGGATGATATCAAAAGGAAAAAATAAAATGTGATTCAGGTTTTTCATTGCTAAATAGTCTTTTAAACAGGCCTGACCAATTTTAACTTTCTTAATTTACAATTCTGCTTCTTTTTATTGTAAACGTATGACATATGCCTTAGCCATGCAACTAGATATAATGAATACATTTTTAAAAAGATCTATGACAATGAATAAAATATTTCGGAATAATAAATTTTAACCAACCTGTTTTATAATTCTAAAATTGGACTCAAGTAATGCTTTTATTTAAGTTTTGAATACAGGTATTTTTATTTACATAAAATAAATTAAGTTTTTCATTTTTAATTCAAAGAATCACAACATGTAGCATACATTAAATTAGCTGCTGAATGAAAAATTGATATGGCTAAAATAATCTATCTTAGTTTTATTAACCTAAATTTTTAAAAAATGATGACATGTAGACTTCCTATTTAAAATACACCACATACAATCTTTTTGAGACAGGGTCTTGCTTTGTGGCCCAGGCTAGAGTGAGTGCCGTGGCTTCAGCTTAGCTCACAGCAACCCAAACTCCTGGGCTCAAGCAATCCTACTGCCTCAGCCTCCTGAGTAGCTGGAACTACAGGTACGCGCCACCATGCCCAGCTAATTTTTTTCTATATATATTAGTTGGCCAATTATAGTAGAGATGGGGTCTCATTCTTGCTCAGGCTGGTTTCGAACTCCTGACCTTGAGCAATCTTCCTGCCTCGGCCTCCCAGAGTGCTAGGATTGATTACAGGGATGAGCCACCGCGCCCGGCCACCACATACAATCTTGATTTCTTTTATATATCCTGTTCTATTACTTCCAATTAAGATAGTATTTTTATAATAAAATAAGGAAATATTAGTTTAGAAAAAAATAGATTGGCCTTTTTTATGAACCACAATTTATGAATATAATTAAGAAAGATAACACACAAGAACTTTTCTGAGTGACTCAATACTGTCTAGAAAGCTAGCATTGGCTTCTGGTATCTGGTTCCCAAATATGAGATATCCCTCATTAACATCTTGTTTTATTTTCTACTTCTTCCTTCCTCTTCCTTTTTTCTCTTATTCAGAGAGTCTTATTACTAGCCAACTCAGACTTCTTAGATTTCCTTAAGTGTTTTCCTTAGTTTATTTGTGGCTACTAATATACTGTCACTACTTAATGTTCTCTTTCTAATCAATTCCAGGTTATGTCTAACATTGATTGGTGGTTTTAAGATGTTGCCACTTACCCAGTATGAAACCATAGTTCTGGATAAAATCTTTCCTATATAGAGGCAATGAAGGCTGTTCAACATGAGAACTTGGTGAGAGAAAAAAAAAAAATTAAAACTACGATGTGCACTCTCAAATACTAAATCTATCAATCTATTTCAAAATATATAAAATGTAGCACACTATAGTTCTGATTATATGTTGGTGTGGCTGCAAGGAAAGCTGACACATTGGGACTGATAATCCATTCTACAAAAAATAAGAAATAATTCATTCTACAAAAATGCAGACTGTGTGATTTGATGCCCTTCAATATAGGCAATAGCCAAATGGGGGGAAATGATATTTGATTAATAGCAAGAATGATGTATCATAACGATGCAAGGTAAAACTTAATAAAAGACAGGTAAGTGAATATAACTCTCTAATTCTCAGGACTGATGTTCAGATATCCCAGTGAGATATAAGAAGCAGAGTCCTCTGCTTCATACATCCACATAGTTGTAGAAACACAGTGAGATCTTAACTCTGGTCTTACTAAATTGACTAAAGAAAAAGAAAAAAATAAATGGTGACTCAAGGATGAACCATAAGTGTTAATACTTACAAGGAAAGTTGAATTCTCAGTGTGCAATTCATTAGAGTAGTAGCAATGCTTTTGCCCCTTGAAAGGAGACAGTAAGAGAGTGGAAAGAGAGACTTTGATTCCCTCCCTCCTACCTCTGCTCCCCCTGGTTGGGAAGATGATAGAAATTTAGGCAGAAATTTACTCCTCCTTGGTAGAAACATGAGGTAAAGCTGGAGACTATATCTTTCTCTAAAATAAACAACTAATATTTTCCAGCATGTTCATCTAAGGGAGCAAGAGCAATGCATCTTGGTAATTCCTCTGTAGACACAAGCCATCTAAACCTGAAACACATTCAGAAGTAAATGGTTCTAAAAACAAATCTGGCACTTTAAGCTGTCTTTGCCTTTCAGCCTTCTTTATTAGACATAGCTCTTACCACATCAGGACAAAATTTATATTATGTCACATTGCAAAAAAAATGTATTTGGATGTTGATTACTTCCGTAATATTAGTATGCTCTCAGCATATATAAGAGGATATAAAAGAAAAGAGGGATAAGCATTTGGAAATCCACATTGGCTATAATGTATCCTTAAACCATCGGAGTTTGTTATGTTGGTTTTGATTGATTGATTTCTACTTCATGGTTCTTAACAGATAGAATTCTTACCGCTATTTTCACTTCTCTTATTCATTAGATAACATAAACTCTGTGACAGAGCCATAATTCCAATAGTTTCCAAAATTAATATGCAGAAAATCAGATTATTCAAATTGGGATTCTTCCACACTACTGTAAATTTTCACCATGAATACTTTGAATAGGTATTTATTTGTTACAATATATTCTATAACTGTTGTATTATTTAATTTAATTTTCAATACATGTTTGCATTTCTAATAAAAAAATTTATAAACATTCCTAGAATACCCAAAAGAGCCTAAATATGTTTTGAGTTCCTTAACAGTTTTAGGAATAAATTTATATTCATTAAAGAAAATTGCATTTTAAGTTTTGAAAATTGATCAATATTTAAATTCATCTAAGAACATAAGAGAGTTTTGTAAGAGAAAGAATTTTCTTAAAATTTTGACTAAGTTATGAAAACTTTTTTTCTTGTGTTCTTTCCCTCAATGGGCAAATAAAATGTGTTTATCACCCATTTATATAAATTTTTATTGAGGGAGAAAACATAATTAAGTACTAAAAAAGTTATGAAATAACTAACACTTTTCAACAACAGTAAAATCAGGGCTAATTAGCAATATTTTGCTCAGTGAACCTTGTACCATTACTCTAAGAACCAAGGTCATTGTTAACATTTGCTTATTCTATAGGCACTAATGATTATTTTTATACAGCATTCAGCCTCTGTCCTCAGACTAGAAACTGATTATAAAAGACAATAGGAGAGCTATTTTTACAATATATTGTTATTATATAAACATACATTGAAGAAACCATCTGACAATTTAAAGGGAGGACATTTGTTAATCTAATTGCTTTATATTCTATAACCATAACATTGAAAAGAAGTTCTAATGTTTCTTCAACCCATCAGGAATGTTGCTTTGGTTCATAGGTCAGATTTCTTAAGAAGGGATTATCTGAAGAAAAAGTTCTGGTTTTATGAGACTACTTTCTTT